CTATGTTACTTGAAAAGCTCCCGGGCAACTCCATTTCGATATTCATCGTTTCCCTTTTTTCGCATCCGAGCAATAAAGTCATTTGCTACTGCAGTTGCAGACGAGTCAACGACCGTATCTTCCATTTTATCATATTATCAAGTCACATCATCACAAAATCTGGAGTGTTTTTACAAACATACAACTTTAAGCGGTGCCAAAAACTATAAATATGCAGTTGCTGCTGATCGCTAGAAACTTCCCAAAGACTGGTTAATAACAATGAGTTCCAACAACAAAAATAAAAACACGTGTTTAAAAAAAAAAAAAAACAAGGCAGAATCAAGATAAATCACAGGAATAGCAGCGCAGTATATGTGCAAAAAAATTGAGATACTCATTAGGTTTCACCTGACAAAAACTCAAACTTTGGTTACCAATTAGATCGAGTCAACTTCAGTTCAGTTCGGTGTATATGTAAAGAAAGTTCTCCTGTCCTGGAAAGATTCCAGCTGCTTTGGCGCAATGCCACTGTGCTGTTCAGAAGCATCTAGAGATTACTGGATCGACCTCCGTAAAGGTGCACATTACTTTCCTGTTATACGTCTAAACGACGTGTTACAAATAACATGCTGCTTACCAATACTTCATCTCTTTGTTTTCCAAATTTTTTTGCTTTTCGACCTTTTCCAGCTAACATTTTCAGCAGAAATATAGGAGTTTTTTCATATTTGAACACAACTTTTGACTACTGCACCAACTTCGTTAGTTGTGAGGAACATCTGTTAATTTTTTTTATTACAACGGTCTACGTGGTCAAGAGTTATGAAATATGTGAAGAAAATAAAAGGTGGGAAGTATCATGGGGAAGACAAACGTTTTTAATGTGACGATCTAAAAGAAAGTGGTTTGTTACTAAGTAAGAAAATACTGAAAAATATTTCTGCAGAACAAGTAAAAAGGAGAAACGGAAAAAAAGGGACGGAAATAGTGTTAGCGTCTATTTTTTGAAACTCTTGAGAAAAGTGTCCACTTTTTTTGCTGAGATTGACACGGAAACTAAAGAGTAACTTAAAAATGTAGGCACAAAGATTCTTGACTTAAGAAGGAGGGATACGGTAGTGCCCTTCAATGATCGCCGTGAGGTGTTTAAAGAAATATGTGAGTGCAGTGGGAACTTTGAAGTTCAGTGACAGTTGGTGGCAAAAAAATGTTTTGTTTGAATCCTTGCAGTTGATTTTTTGCATTAAAACCATTGTATTTTTTTACACTTTGCGGTTTCTTAGTTACTGGATGCTAAAGACTGTAAAGTCGCTTGGTAAAAAGTAGGTTGAACTTCAGGTGCTGTTGTATTTAGTTCATAGTTTACCATTTCAACACATTGTTTTACTCAAGGCAATTCACATTTGTTTTCTCGCTTGTAGAATTTTCGCTCGTTTTGTTTACCTCTGTTAATTTTAGGAGTGTCTATGTGCTACTTCCTTAGCTTCAAGAATATAGTATTAGACTATGATTTATCACTTTTGGAGCTATTTTTTGACTATCCCGACTGGTAAGATATGGTATGTCGGTTAACCGTTGCTTGTATGTCGGTTAACCGTTGCTTTTTTCATCCCTGGTTTCGTGAGGGTAACGGGTTAAGGTCCTCTGCTGTGAAAACTTTTTGGACAGTATTTCATTTTTTTTTCTTTTTTTTTTTTTT